GCCTCCCGCCCTCGGCCCAGGCCGGCTCGGGGTCAGGTCCCCGGCGCCGACGACGAGGGCTGAGGCATGTGCACGCGCCGCCCGGCTGCCAGGCGGGCTCTCGGCTCTGGGAAGCGCCCCCTCCCGCCGCTTCCCGCCGGACTTCGGCGGGACACGCTGTCCTCCAGGGTCAGGGACTGACTGGACTCCCCGCTCCCGCCCTCCTCCTTCCTCCCCTCCAGCCCTGGGAGTTTCCCCAAGCTCTTTTGCCCAGAGTGGAGCTCGCAGGCAGCCTCACGGCCAAATACCGGGACTGGCTAGAAGAAGCTGTTCCGTACTGAGTGTACCCAGATCCCTTCTGTCTCGCTTTTGTCTGGAGAGGTTGAGAAATGAATCTACTAGCTTACTGCAAAAGTTTCGCAACAATACCAGTGGGGTGTAGGTTGTAGCCGTATTGCTCTAAGGACATAGGCAGTGTTACTGCATAAGGGGTGCTCGTGCACCCCCAGAGAGCACTGGTGCACCCTGACAGCCACCGCTCCTGGGCAGGGGGGGGCACGCGAGAGTGCTGGTGACCCCCTTGAGAGCACTGGCACCAGGAGAAGCAGTCTCCCCATAGCCTACTGCGCTCACCCACAAGTGCCAGCAGCCCACCGCTGCCACTTACGGGTTGGCGGGATCAGCCGCCCCCATCCTGGTCACTGACTGTCCACCGAGGGTGCAAGTGCCCCCCACCCCCCAGACTCAGGAGGCACCAGTCGCCCAAGGACATAGGCAGACAAGGTTCTTTGGGTGAACCTGATCTCTTTTATTCAACCAACTTAAATAGTTGGGGGGAAAAATTTCTTAGCAAGCTGTCGGGTTTCAAAACCCTTCGTCGGGCTGAGGAAGCCTCTGCAGTTGGTGTGCGCTTCATGAGCAGCTATCAAAACTATAAATAAAAGCAAACCCATGACTTAATAAATAAATAAATAAATGTATGTATCTCCTATCCAATACAGAATTATAACTAAAATAAATCAGATTACCATACTGCTTGCTATGACTCATCCTTAGATGTACAAAGTAAACCTTTACAACAACAACAAATCCATTAAGAGTTTCACCTTGAAATACAGCTAAGTTAATTATTTGCCAAAATAGTTTATCTAATAAAACTTAACTGCTTTTTAATGTCCCTGGAATGAACAGAAAAACAGATCACATTGTGGTCTTCTTGAGTTTGTTGTTATTTTACCTATTATAGACCGTGAAGATGTATCTGATGATTTAACATTTTTATCTGAACAGTTGTTTATGGTTAATAAGTTTTTTGAATAAAGGTACAAGTATTCCAAAACGAGCATTTAGTATGAGCTTTAAAAAGTAGCAAAATAATGGCCTAAATGGCATTCTATCGTCTCAGGCCTTTGGCAGGGCAGTCTATCCTGCTTTCTACCCTCAGATACTCTGGAAGATAGGATTTTGGATCAGAATTCAAAATGCCCTTGATAAATTGGAGAAACAGTCTGAAATAAATCGGAAGAAATTAAGTAAAGACAAGTGCAAAGTACTGCATTTAGGATGGAATAATCAAATGAATAAGTACAAATTGGGAAATGACTGACTAGGTCGCAGTGCTGCAGAATATCTAAAGATTATAGTGAATATGACTCAACAGTGTGCTATTGTTGCAAAAAAGTCAATAGCATACTGGATTACATTAAAATGAGTACAGAATGCAGGAAGCCAGCACTGGTGAAACTTTACCTGGAGTTCAGGTTTGGGCACTGCACTTTAAGAAAGATGTGCAAGCATTGGAAAGAGACCAGAAGAAACTGACAAAAACAATCAGAGGCCTGAAAAACATGGCAAAGAAGAAATGGTTAGAAGAGCCAGGATTATTTAGTCTGGAGCAGAGAAGACCTGTGGAAATGTGATAACAATCGTCAAATACAGAAAGGGTTGTTATAAAGAAGATAGCAATCAACTATTCTCTATGTCTACAAGGGAATATGACAAGTACGAATTGTTTTAAATTGTAACACGAGAGAGTTAGCTTGGATATTAGAACATTTTTAAATGAGACTGATTAAGTACTCATTACCTAGCGAGAGTGTGGCATCTCCATCATTAGAATTTTTTAAAATGCAGGATAGACCAAATAGCTATCTGGGATGCTTAAGACACAGATGTTCCCATGTTGACCAGAGGGCTAGACTGTATCAACTCCTGCAATTTTTCCAGCCCTATTTTAATATAAGTCAAAGGAAGGTCAAACATTCTCTTTTTTTTTTTATCATGATTTTTTTACTAAAAAAGATTGCCATAATTTTTGCTGAAGAAATATTTTAAACTACTTCATTTTTAAATCAGTCCTTTTTCCTCACTTTTGGGGGGTTCCTCCACCTAAACAATTCCAAAACACACAAGCTGCATTTTTATATACTCATTCTGATTCTTTCTTACACACAAACTACTTTCAGGGTTTAACAGTAAACTACATTAAGACTCATTTCCATTATTCAGGGTAATCGTTCTGAGCTAAGCAAAGAGTGGCTCTCTTGCCATGCTTTTCAGAAATTCTTCACAATTCATTCAGTCCAAAATATGGGATTGCACACTGCAGTAAAATGATAGGCTTTGGGAACCTTTGAGGGGATGCGTGGACTGACAGTGAGCAGGACTGTTCAAAACTATGCCAACTTGAAAGATTTCATCACCCTGGGAGACATCAGCTGAGTAAAGCACAGTACAGGTGGGACATGCCTTTAGTACAGCTGTTAGTTCTGTCTGCTTTTGGCCCTTTTTCTCAAGCACCACAATGGGACCCAGAGTGCACTATCTGTTGTATTAGATGGAGAATAAAAATCAAAATAGATGATTTTGTAATGTTCCTTGCAGTTTTTTCTCTTGTTCTGACTTTAAGTATAGTTGTTATTTTTTTCCCCTCCTGCAAAAACAAATACTTCTAATCATCTTGGCAAGCAATTCAGACCAGGTGACACCAGAAGCACAATGTAACTTTTGAACTTTGTTCTCACTGAGCATGTCTCAGAGCCATGGGTATTAATGTCAACAGCTGAGGAAAAACACAGCTTTTCAACATTATGTTGTATTACTAAAATGGTTTGCACAATTCTACTAATATTGACAAATAAATACATCAAAGAGTCAGGATTAATTGCTCAAAGCTTTGTTGCTTTCACCATGCATACATCCCAAGTACCTCTCTTGTACTTTGGTCATGATCAGGGATCCAGGTTTTCTGCTCACCATGGAAAAACATGATAAAACCTGGATTTTCTCTTTTTAAGAAGAAAACCCCAGATTTTCTCCTTTAAAGGAGAAAAATGGGGAAACAGTGAGTTTCCCTTTGCATGCTGGCAGAGTTCCAGTCTGAAAAGGGCTGGGGGAGTGAGAGAAGGACAATCAGCAGAGGGCACAGTGTGCATGTGCGCATGTACACATACATATGGCTGCCAGGCAGCCTGGAGAGCAGCTCCCACAGGTAAGTCTGGCAGCAGGAGGAAAGAGGGGTGGGGATTGAGGCCCCCCATAGGGAGGGAGGGAAGGAGTGGGCAGGACTGGGGCTGCTGCCCAACCAGGGTGGTGTGTGGGACTTGGGGCCCAAGGCCAGAATATACAGGCACAGGGCCCCGACAGAGAGTGCGATGGAGCCACAGGGGCTCATCCATGGGGGCAGAGGAGGTAGGGCTGACTCCCTGCCACTGTGCGCCCTCTCAGAGGGTCATAGGGGGCATGTGCCCCCCAGATTTGTGGGTGGGGCAGGGATGGGAGCAGGCTGCCCACTGCAGACTCAGGCTCCATGCCCTGCAGCTCTTCTCCTGGGGCCTCTGTGGCCCAATGGGTGGGAACCAATGCGGCAGAGCGGGGTGAGGAAGCTCAGTGCTGCCGCTGAGAGCTCCATGCCACCATGGCAAGGTGCCCCCTGCCCACCCAGCAGCAACAGGGGTAGCAGTGTGGAGTTGTGCCCTTCACTGCTGCTGGGCGGGCAGGGAGTGCCTCAACATGCCAGCATGGAGCTCTTAGCAGCAGCACCGAGCTTTCTCATCCAGCCCCACTCTGCCCTGCTGCACTGGGTACCACCCACTGGGTTGTGGAGGCCCCGGAGAGAGGTCAGCAGGACAGAGAGCCCAAGTCTGCAGTGGGTAACTCACATCTGCACCCCACTGGTGACAACTGGGGCTCAGGCACTGCTGAGGGGTCAGAGGGCTGTAGGGGGCTGACCCCATAGCCCCGGAAGCTGGGGGCTCCCTCTAGCAGGGCAGAGGGGGCTGTGGGTCAAGAGTGAAGGGCACCAGCAGGGCTGGGGAAGGGCTGTGGGTGGGGCATGAGAGTCACTGGCAGGGTCAGAGAGCTGTGGGTGGGGACTGAGGGGCACCAGCAGGGGTCGGGGGCTGTGGCTTTGGAGTGAGGGGCAATGGCATGGGCAGGGCACCAGGATATCAGGGCTGCTCAGCACCACAAGGTAAAGCGGTTTGGGGTGGGGGGGACAGGTGCAGCTAGACCCACATCCTGGTGAGCAAAGAGGACAGGTGCAGATCTGATTTCTCATGATAAAAAACCCAAAATCAAATACCAAAATTTATATGTATTTAGAATTTATTATAGTAATTGAGGCACTGTTAGGCTTCCAAATTGCTTTAAAATTATAAATGTATCAATAAAATATTGTGTTCAACTAATCCCTACATATGTAGTAGCATTTCATTTTAATCAAGGAAAAACATGGATTTGGGAGGTTTTAATCAGAATTTGCAATTTTTATCTGAGAATTTGTGATTTTTTAAACAGAGAACCAGGATTCCCAGTCATGATGGTATAGGTTTGCCAGAATAACACCCAGACTAGCATTAATAATGCATGTTAGCATTAATTACAGCACAGTTCTCTTCGGGGGTCCATATTAAATGCTCAGGAAGATTGATTAA